GTATATCAAACTTCTTTATTTTTCTTATCTCTTTATTTTAGCCATTACTCTTTTCCTCCTTTTTTTTCAGTACTAGTCTTTGACACGTGCGTTGCACGAATTTTGTATTTATTGTATTTTTATTAGCGTCAAAATTGTAGATTTTTTACTTTTAAGTAACTTCTTACATTTTACAAATATTTTTTGTCTGTATTTTTGTTTGTTAATAATTTTTTACATAAAAGTGATTGTTGGAAATAAAATAGTGATAGTAAAAAATATCAACAAATAAAAATATTGCTAATAAACAAATTCAAAGAAAAAAAATTAGTTTCCATGCTTAGAAGTCTCAATCCTCCATAATACGGAGGCTTGATCTCTCCATAACAAGAGACTTGATCTCTCATAACAAACCTCTGTATTACGAAGGAAAATCCTCCATGATACAAAAGCTTGATCTCTCCATAACAAGCCTCCATATCACAGAGGAAATTCTCCGTGATACGGAGGCTTGATCTCATGGAGAGATCAAGTCTCCATAATAAATATGGAGAGATTCATTTGATATATATATTTTTATTTAAATGATATTTTTTTATAGATCATCTATTTAACATATAAGTTAATATTTAATTTTAAAAATTAAATATTTGCTCCATATTTTTAAGTTAATATATTGTCAAGTTACAAGTAATTTTTACAATTATAAGTTTTTTTTTTTTAAACTTTAAGCGAATTTTTTTTACATATATTTATGGAATTCACACTTTTTCTCTTGAATTAACCCCCTCAATTAATTATTATTTAAACGGTTCGTAAACATTTTGATTGATATTATTTTTTGATCATCCAAATGGTTACTATATTCCTTTTACGTACATATATAAAAATAATATTTTTATTTATTAACAAATGAATATATTTATTTTTCAAGAAATGAGTTTTTATTATCATTTCATATTTATCATGAAATGATTCTAATCTTAATATGTTAGATTGTGATTCAAAATTAAATAATCTATCAAATAGAATTTTTAAAATTAATTTTTATAAAATAATATATTATGGAGGCTCAAGCATGAGCCGCATTATGGAGCCTCCGCGTACGGAGGCTCAAGACATGAGCCTAATAATTATTATGGAGGCTCATACATGAGCCTCCATAACATATTATATTATAAAATTAATAAATATTTTATTATTTTTTTTAGTATTATTATATTTCACCTTCCAAAAAAAAAAATCATAAAAACATATTACTTTATAAAAATTAATTTTAAAAATTATATTTGATAGATTATGTAATTTTGAAACACAATCTAACATATTAAGATTAAAATTATTTCATGATAAAAATGAAATGGTAATAAAAGCTCATTTCTCGAAAAATAAATATATTCATTTGTTAACATATTTGGTCTTTATTTTTTAAATTTATTTTTCTTCAAACATATTTTCAATCATATATTTATGGAATTCACACTTTCACTCTTGAATTAGTGTGGAGAAATAGAGATGTATGACTGTAGCGTGTAAAAATGGAGAAAGAGTAAAGAGGGCTCTATGACATAATCCTCCATGCCGTGTAAATTAAGGAAAAGTAACAAAGTCACTGCATCAAACACGTAAGATAAACGACATCGTTGCTTTCTCTCAATAAAAAAAAAAAAGTTACAGTGAGACAAAATGAAAGAATCTACTGTTTTTTCTACAGTAGTGAAACATTGTCCTTTTTATATAGTAGTGAAATAGTTTAGCCAACCATTCACTTTATACAACAAATAGTTTATCTTTGCTTTGTTTTATCGATTTCTTTTATGAACAATTCTTCTTTCGTGAACTCTCTTTCTCCATTCAAGGAATGGATAAAAGTTGGGACCTCAATTGTTTTCTTGCAATCACTGCCAATGATCCTCGTGTTTATGTGTTAGTGACTCGTTTGTTTAAGTGTTGGATTGTTAATCGAGTATTTTAAAACCATATATATCTGTTACTTTTATCTTTTATAAAAGTTCGACTTTAACACAAGTGTGTGGAAATATTTGTAGAAAATTTTAAGTTACTAAAATTTTGATGTGATAGAAATGAGTTTGTAATTACTTCTATGCCTCACCATTTTTACCTTTGTTAGCAATTGTAAGTGACAAATTTTATTCATGGGTTTGTTCAAAGACCAGCAAAAATTATGCAATGTGGAAAACAGATCAAATCTGAAAAACACAGAAGCCAGTTGCAGAGATGACATTGTAAATATTTCAGTGACAACTTTTGTTAAAAGGTTTCCAGCATAGTCTTTTTTTCTAAACATCTTCTGATCCTTGAAAGTGTCACTTTTTTTTATTTTCCTTCCCTTTTTATTATTTTTGTATTTCCATTTGGAATTTTTCTAAACTAGAATTGAGACATTGGCTAAAACATAAATATAATGAACTGAAGAAGTGCACTAAAGATTATATTTATATAAATAAATATTATGCCTCTCTAACAGCTCGAGATTGTCCTCAAATTTCTGACCTAGGCTTCAGTGGACTTCAAAAAAAATTGTGAGAATGAGAATAATACAAGAGACGGGTCTGAATTTAGTTTGTAGCAGTAATTAATAAATGAATGAGAAAATGCAGAAACTCTTATCTTTCTGAAGATTCAATCAGGGGACGGAATTTCTGATCTTTCTTCTTTTTTTTTTTTTGCACAATTACCCTTCTCTATTTTTTATATTTTAATTAGAAAATGCTAATATTGGTACAAAGAAACACAGGTTATTTCTTAATTACATTGAACAAAATGTATTGTTTCTTGACCCAGAAAGCTGTTGAGATTTCTTGCAGTGAGCAAGGGCTGCCTCTATTGAACGTTCAATCTTAGTTCAAGAAAGCTGTTGAGATTTCTTGCAGTGAGCAATGGCTGCCTCTATTGAACGTTCAATCTTAGTGGCACTGCTGCTCCTCTTGAGAAAATATAATTCTTGAAAACCACTGATACTGAACGAGGAGGATGAAGCACCAGACGAAGAAATGGATGAAGATGAAGACGAGGAAAAAGACAAACGCTTAGTTGCAGAGTGTCGTTTGATTGCCCCGGAGAATGACCTCCTGTGGACATTTTCATTCCCAATCCCCTCTTTATCAATGCTCTTTGTTATAGTAGCTATTGACATTGTTGGGCATGTAGATTTTCCCATACTTCCAAATGGTTTTTTCCTGGTAATCTTTATATGCTCATCATTTGAAGATTCCTCAAATTTTGACAAGTTTTCAGCTTCTAAATTGCACGCGGACTTGCAGAATAGAGATTTCAGACAAGCCCTTGAAGCCTTGAGCTTCTGAACAAGTATGGATGGCTTCATGAGTTTCATCTTTTTGGACCAAGAATTCTTTGCGTGCTGTTCGTTGATGAAACTGCTTAATTCAGCAGACCGTTCAAAGAAATTCTTGTCAGGGTTCAGTTCACAACTCGCACTACAGGACTCCACTGAGGAGGAGCTAGTGTTGTTGAAGCAAGTCATGAATGGTGTTTCTTGATGATTCTCTTCTTCAAAGCCCGGTTTGGTGTTCTCCAAGAAGGTCGTGATGGTTGTGCTGGAGGAGGTTTCGAGGCGTTTTTGAACCATTTTCAGCCGCAGGGGGTGGTGGAGAGGGAGGAGTTGGCCTTTGTAGAAGAGTTCATCAGCTGAAGAAGTGGTGATTCCTTTGTCATTGGAAATGGAGGACATTTGGAACTCAAAATCTTTGCTTTGTGGGGAAGAATTTGGGGAGTAGTAAGGGGAGTTTGTGGATGAAAAGCTCAAATCCATGTCTATGTAGTCGTCTTCTTCATCTGCACAAAAAGATGGTGAAAAATTTTTGTCCATTTCATGAAAGCAGTTTATGTGTGACTGAAGATGCTTATGGGGAGGTGAGCTCTATGAAGGTTAGGGGCTATCCTTTAAAAGAGAGATGGTTCCATGCCAAAAGCAACATATTGACATCAAAGTTGAAAATATATGGCTCGTTCGATACGGTAAAATGTTGTTTACTGTACGGCTGAATTTACTCCTCAGGAGAAAAAAACTAAGCACGAATGATTTTTGAATCAATTCTATCATGATTCTACTCATTGACACACGGTCATTTTCATTACCTTTTTACGGTTCTTGAGACTACAATTTTACACTTATTTGACATTTTTACTTTTGAAATAAGTCACATCTTTATGGAAAAAGTAAATAATAAAATTGTTATAGCACTTTTGTGTGACAGTTCTAACAAGAACAACTTTTTTAATCAT